GTTGTCGCCGCCGTGGATCGACCACCGTCGTTCCCGCCTCCTCGTCACCGCCTGGGATCACCCGCCGCGTCCGCCACCGGTTAGTGCGTTTTGTTGTGACTTTTGCAATCTAGGTTTAGTTAATTTGACGCGCCGGTGCGCATGTAGATGGAGTTGAGCCCGTGCGAGAAGTTCTTGCTCTCCGATTCTTTCGATTCGGAAGACTCGGATGTTGAGACCATGCTTGTGAATTTTCGGTAGCAAACGTTGGTCATGGCACTTGCCGTGAAGGAGCACGAAGACGAGAACAGGAAGAGGAGGCGAGGATTGACCTTCGGGCGTCTTTGCATTCCCCGGAATAGTCATCTTGGAAACGAGATATTGATGCAAGACTGCTTCGCGGAGAATCTAACGTATCCACCGTACCTCTTCCGGAGAAGGTACCGAATGCACCGATCCCTCTTTGTAAAAATTGTTCAAGCTTGCGAGGCAAATTGCCGGTATTTTACTCAAAGAAGAAATGATGCGGGCTTAAAGGGATTTAGTGCATATCAAAAAATCTCTGCGGCAATGCGGGTGATTGCATATGGTGTTCCGGCTGACTATGCCGATGAGTACCTTCGTATTGGTGAAGATACAACAATTGAGTCTGTGCGTAGATTTGTAAAAGGTGATCATCCGTGTCTTTGGTCTTGAGTATCTTCGGGCATCCAACGAAGATGACACAAAGAAATTGATGGCAACTAATGAGAGGAGAGGTTGGCCTGGCATGCTAGGTAGCATTAATTGTATGCATTGGACTTGGAAAAATTGCCCCAAGGCATGGCAAGGAATGTATTGTGGCAAGTCTCGTGATGCAACAATTGTGCTTGAGGTCGTAGCATCCGATGATTTATGGATTTGACATTGCTTTTTTGGTATGTCGGGCACTCTCAATGATATCAATGTGTTGCAACGGTCTCATTTGTTTGCTAGGCTTGCTAGTGGTGATGCTCCTGCTTGCAACTACACTATCAATGGGCATGAATACACAAAGGGGTACTATCTTGCTGATGGTATATACCCTCCTTGGTGCACATTTGTCAAAAGCATCAAAGAACCAAAAACTAAAAAGCAATGTGAATTTGCAAGGGTGCAAGAGGCCGCCCGAAAAGACATTAAAAGAGCATTCGGTGTTTTGCAATCTAGGTTTGCCATTGTCCGTGGTCCTGCTTGTTTTTGGAATAAGAAAACCTTGAAAAATATCATGACATGCTATGTTATCCTGCACAATATGATTCTTGAATATGAGAGAGGAATGAACATGAAATTCTTCTATGACAATGTGGGTAGTCGTGTCAAACCAGCTAGAGACCCTAACCGCATTAGAGCTTTTCTTCAAACATACAAGGAGATTGAAAATGCAAACACCCACTTTCAACTTCAGGAAGATCTCACTGAGCACCATTGGCAAAGGGCAAGACAGTGACTCATTTTTGTATTCATTGCTATTTGTATTCATGACAACTTTTGTATTGCATTTGAATAATTGTTTGTAATGTGGATGATTATTGTATTATGTTTGATTTGAATAATTTAGTTTTGCTTTCGATTGTTGTATTATGTTGGATTTGATGTTGGCGAGCCGATGAGGTGCGGGATGCAGCGGCGCAAAGAGCAGACCCAGCAAAGCCGGCCCGTAAAAAAGCATATTCCGGGAATATGCTTTTTACGGGTCCGTTTGAGGGTTCTGCATCTGTGACCGCCCGCGTCGGCCCGCAAAAACGGTTTTCCGCGAACTGCAAACGCGTTTTACGGGACCAGCGGGATGCGGGGTCTGCTAGAGTTGCTCTTAGCAAGTTTGGAGTCAACATTAAAGTAGCAACTCTAGTACTTCCTCTGTTTCTAAATATGTCTTTTTAGAGATTTTAATATGAACTATATAGAAAGCAAAATTAATAAACCTACATTTCAAACTATGTCTATATACATGTGTATACAGTTTATATTAAAAAAATAAAAGACTTCTACTCCCTCCGTTCCAAAATAGATGACTCAACTTTGTACTAACTTTTAATAGCGTATGTGTCTATTTTGGAACGGAGGGAGTATTTATGTATGGAGAGAGTACATACAAGCGGCATCATAGGAAACTGACCACCAACCGTAGAGTAGCTCTTATAATATAACTAATGAGGGTTATAATAATAGGTACTTTCACTATCCCTTAATATAATACCGTTTTTAACACCACAATAGTGTCAAACCCTTTTATATTATGGGACGAAGGAAGGGAGTAAAAGGCAAAGATGATAATAAGAAATTGTCCACCGCGGTTGGCTTGGGCCACTCATGTTTACAGTAATCTGGTGTACACATCCGTCGACGGCAGCGCATGTGTCTGTATGGGACCACACGTAACAAAGCAGGCAAACCTGAGCACGCTGTGCGTCGAGAAACAAGATGCCGCAGGCGCCCGACAAGCGCACTACAATCAGTCGGCTGAATCGTACGTACCCTTTGCCAAAAGTATCACCAAACAGGGGCCTATATCACCGGCAGTAGCCCGTTCACTTCGAATTTGTGAAACAAAGCTAAGCAGCAACAGCGATGAGGCCATCTACCGCTGCTCACATTCTCACGGCCGCCGTCCTCTTGCTCGGCGGCGTGGGCGCGACAACGGAGACGACGTGCAGGGCGGCCGCGGGCGCCGACAGGCGCGTGGACTACCACTTCTGCGTGTCCAGGCTGAGCCAGCACCACGACAGCCCCGACGCGGACACGTGGGGCCTGGCCAAGGTGGCCGCCGACGTAGGCGTCCTCCTCGCCGGCAACGGCGTCTACGACATCAAGCACATGCTCGCCAAGAAAGCGGCTGGGGGCAAGGTTCGTGCGCCGCTGGAGCGGTGCGAGGCGCTCTACGGCAGGATGGGGTCCGCGTTCGCAGAGGCCTACGACGGGATCGACAGGCGCGACTACGCGGCGGGGAAAGACAAGGCACGCGAGGCCGCGCCTCTCATGCGCCGGTGCGGCGAGGCCTTTGCCCGGGCCGGCGTCGTCCCGTCGCCGCTGGCGAGGCAGAGCGCGGACGCGGTGCAGATGGCCATCCTCTGCACAGCCATCACCGGCCTCATCAAGTGAACGAGCGAGCGGTGTTGCCTGTAATGCTGCTTGCTCGATCGGCCGACCGTCGTGTCATGCATGCACATGCACCTACACCTACGCTTGCATGTGCGTCAGGCTGATGGTTGATACTAAAACGTTCTACAGTGATGTAGCGATCATTCACTCCAGAAGAGAATAAAATGCTTTTGTATCTCTTTGATCTAATTAATGGAGTCGCTTGTTTCATGAAATCTCAACTGAAAGACAATTCGGGCGCCAGCTGCCACGTACTGGTAGGTGTTATGGATAGAGAGGGGAACCGGCTGTGTGTAGGGTGTTGGCTGCTCACAACGGACTTACCATATACTCCCTCCGTCCTAAAAAAAACTTGTCGCTCAATTGTATATATCTAGCACTATACTAGTATCATACATATGATACTAGTGTATAATACTATCTTCACAAGGCATAATATTCTAGATTGGTATCATGGTGACCTTATTATTGTCATGCATGATACTTCCTCCGTCAAAAAATACTTATGGGCGGAATGATAAAAATAAATGTATCTAAACTAAAATACGTATAGAAATAGGATATGTCAAAGAAATAGGATGATACTAGTATAGTGCTAGATATATAACATTTAATATGTATCTGGCGGCCTGTCTCTCAAAGTTGCTTATACAAATATGATGTGTGTGTGCATGGCGTTCATAGGGTTAGAGTATGTATCTAAGCGTCTATGTCTATCTACACTCTGGCGAGGACAACCACATGTAAAATGCAAGGAAGACACATTACTGTGGCATGGCACGTCCGGATGCAGAAAATATCACAGGAAAAGTGCTGTAGAATAACTAGACCTAATGACCTGCCTAGTGGACGTTTCACTAGGGTACCCATCCATCAATGAAGGAAGAAAGAATGGTAGGATAGACATTACGGCAAGCAAAGGAAAGCCCTTTTCTTGCCAGCGTCAATATCCGCGAGGGAAAGCTACGGCCAGAATATCCCAAGATGCTTTTTATTATTGTATGTATCTAAAGATCTCTTCTTTTTAAATATTAGAATGATACCTATAGCCCATTGGCAGCGTGATGTGGTGTGATGTGATGGAGTTTGTTCTTATCGGATTGATGATTAACCAGTCCTAGAGATTTACATTGACATGGCGATCGTGCATTCTCTTTCGTTAGTTCCATACTGATGAAAAATGTCTGCTTACCAGGTGGATATATGTGTTTGAAATTAATCAAATTGTTTGATTACCAGCAGGATATGGAAATTAACCAGACTCTTTGTGAATACAGGAATTCTGCTATTTAAAAAAATCAGGACATGAGCTTAAAATCAGTGTGCACGATCATCTGTAATGGGGTAGTTAAGGCAAATTAGATGAAACTGTTTCTGTTATGGTGATTGGAGAGTTACGACATGTACTTTCTCGTAACTCCCTTTTTGATTATTTTCTACCGTTGATTTTAACCCGGTAATTAAAAAACTAAGTTTAATCAACAAGGGTATTATGGTCATGTGTGATTGTTGTTTTAGTACTCCTAACTCTGTCAATAATCTGCCCCACAAAAAAATCTGTCAATAATCCCCCGCATCTGACTAAGAGCATCTCCACTCGTTCGGCCCCCAGGGGCTAGAAATAGCGCAGCCCTAGGGTCGCGCCGGCTGAAATATCGGCTTGGGGGCGATCTGGTTCCCAGCAGCCGCCCCCAGGTCACCCCAAACGCCGATTTTGGCCCACTTTCGGCGCAAATCGGCCCACTTTTGAGCCCATTTTTGGCACAAATTGGCCCACTATCAGCGCAAATTGATCAATTTCGGCACGTATTCGGCGTACTTTGGCGCAAATTCAACATAAAGCTACTATTTATCACATAGTTCATCATAGAAAATCAATAGAAATCAAATAGTTCAATACAAATTATATTGTTCAACAAATAAAAACTCATATTTCATCACACTCGAGCTAGGCGTTGCCCTTGAGCCTCCATAGGTGCTCCACCAGATCCCGCCCGCTGTAGTTGTTGATGCACCAGTTGGACTCGGATCTCCTGACGCATATTGAGGAAGGCAGTCCAGGTTGCCGGTAGGTGGTGATCAACTTGGGCTAGAGGACCCTGCCTATAATATGGTTCAGTGTCAAAAAATGGCTCTTCCTGCTCGCTCTCAATGATCATGTTGTGCAAGATGACACAGCAAGTCATGATCTCCCACATTTGATCTTTCGACCAGGTCTGAGTGGGGTATCGGACAATAGCAAATCGAGATTGGAGCACAAATGCCCGCTCGACATCCTTCTTGCAAGCCTCCTGAACCTTCGCAAAGTGGGAGTTCTTGCCTCCTGACACAGGGTTTGAGATAGTTTTCATAAATGTGGACCATCTCGGATAGATGCCATCTGCTAGGTAGTATCCCTTGTTGTAGTGCCGCCCATTGAACTCGAAGTTCACTAGAGGAGAATGACCTTCAACAAGCTTGGCAAAGACAGGGGAGCACTGCAGTACGTTGATGTCATTGTGAGTTCCTGGCATACCGAAGAACTAGTGACAAATCCATATGTCGCGTGTGGCCACTGCCTCAAGTACCACACTGCAACCGCCTTTGGCGCCTTTGTAAATCCCCTGCCAAGCAAATGGACAGTTTTGAAGGAAATATGCCCTAGAGGCAATAATAAAGTTGTTATTTTATATTTCCTTATATCATGATAAATGCTTATTAGTCAGGCTAGAATTGTATTAACCAGAAACTTGATACATGTGTGGATACATAGACAAAACACCGTGTCCCTAGCAAGCCTCTACTAGACTAGCTCGTTAATCAAAGATGGTTAAGTTTCCTAACCATAGACATAAGTTGTCATTTGATGAACGAGATCACATCATTAGGAGAATGATGTGATGGACAAGACCCATCCGTTAGCTTAGCATAATGATCATCAAGTTTTATTGCTATTGCTTTCTTCATGTCATGTACATATTCCTTCGACTATGAGATTATGCAACTCCCGGATACCGAAGGAATACCTTATGTGCTATCAAACGTCACAACGTAACTGGATGATTATAAAGATGCTCTACATGTATCTCCAAAGGTGTTTGTTGGGTTGGCATACATCGAGATTAGGATTTGTCACTCCGAGTATCGAAGAGGTATCTCTGGGCCCTCTTGGTAATGCACATAGTAATAAGCCTTGCAAGCAATGTGACTAATGAGTTAGTTGCGAGATGATGTATCATAGAACGAGTAAAGAGACTTGCCGGTAACGAGATTGAACTAGGTATGAAGATACCGACAATCGAATCTCAGGCAAGTAACTTACCGATGGCAAAGGGAATTACGTATATTGTCATTACGGTACGACCGATAAAGATCTTCGTAGAATATGTAGGAACCAACATGAGCATCTAGGTTCCACTGTTGGTTATTGACCGGAGAGGTGTCTCGGTCATGTCTACATAGTTCTTGAACCTGTAGGGTCTGCACACTTAACATTCGATGCCGATTTTGTATTATATGAGTTATGTGATTTGGTGACTGAATGTTGTTCAGAGTCCCGGATGAGATCACATACATGACGAGGAGTCTCGAAATGGTCGAGAGGTAAAGATTCATATATAGGACGATAGTATTCAGACACCGGAAGTGTTCCGGGGGTACCGGGTATGTATCGGGTCACCGAAAGGGGTTTCGGGCATCCCCCCGGCAACTACATGGGCCTAATGGGCCAAGAAGGGGACATACCAGCCCCTAGGGGGCTGGTGTGCCCCATGTAGGCCAAAATAGAGGGGAAGGGAAGAGGAGAAGAGGGAAAGGAAGGGGAGGGATTCGGCCTCCCCCTTCCTTCTCTCCTCTCTCCTCCTTCCTTCCCCCTCTGGATGAATATGGAAGGGGGAGGCCGAATTGGGAGGTGCCCAAGTAGGATTCCTCCTACTTGGTATTGGGGAACGTAGCATGAAATTCCAAAAAAAAATTCTACGCTCACGCAAAATCTATCTATGAGATGCATAGCAACGAGAGGGGAAGAGTGTGTCCACGTACCCTCGTAGACCGAAAGTGGAAGCGTTAGTTTAACGCAGTTGATGTAGTCTAACGTCTTTGCGATCCAACCGATCAAGTACCGAACACATGGCACCTCCGAGTTCTGCACACATTCAGCTCAATGACGCCCTTCGAAATCTTGATCCAGCAAAGTGTCGAGGGAGAGTTCCGTCAGCACGACGACGTGGTGACGGTGATGGTGATGTGATCCACGCAGGGCTTCGCCTAAGCACTACATGAATATGACCGGAGGAGTAAACCGTGGAGGGATACGTTGCACACGGCTTGGAACAATTGGTGTGTCTCCAAGGGGTGCCTTGCCCACATATATAAAGGAGGGAGAGGGAGGAGGCTGGCCCTAGGGGCGCGCCATAAGGGGGGAGTCCTACTAGGACTCCTAGTCCTAGTAGGATTCGGCCCCCTCTTTTCCTTCTCATGGAGGTGGAAAGGGAGAAGGACAGGGAGTAGGAGAAGGAAAGGGGGTGGCGCTCCCTTCCCTAAACCAATTTGGCCTCCTCCTTGTGGGGGGTGTACCAGCCCCTTGTGGGCTGGTTAGCCTCCCTCCTATGGCCCATATTTTTCCTCGGGGTGTTCCGGTAACCCCTCCGGTACTCCGGTATGTACCCGATACACTTCGGAACCCTTCCAGTATCCGAATACTACCTTCCAATATATCAATCCTTACCTCTCGACCATTTCGAGATTCCTCGTCATGTCCGTGATCTCATCCGGGACTCCGAACAATCTTCGGTCACCAAAACACATAACTCATAATACAAATCATCATCGAACGTTAAGCATGCGGACCCTACGGGTTCGAGAACTATGTATAAATGACCGAGACATATCTTTGCTCAATACCAATAGCGGAACCTGGATGCTCATATTGGTTCCTACATATTCTACGAAGATCTTTATCGGTCAAACCGTAATAACAACATTCGTTATTCCCTTTGTCGTCGGTATGTTACTTGCCCGAG